GAATACCAGTAGTGCGCTGAGCATTGAAGTGGCGACACCTAAACAAAGACAATCATCCAGATTCAAGTTCGAACTCTGTGAAGTCTCGGAGAGCTCGTCCAAGAATTTGGCTTTCCACTCCACTCGCCTTTGACTGTAGTAGTAATGTCTTTTGGATGGGTTGTTGTAGTCTCTGGTGCATCCGTGGTCGTCATTTCTTCCGATGACGTCGTCTTGTCGAATACGTCCACGCCGATGATGATCGGTGTAGTCTCCTTCTGAAGCACACCAGCTGGCGTTGTCTCGTCCTTTGTCATATGTTGAGGTTCCACATCCTTGGATTGATCCAAATTATTTGAAGGAACGGACTAGAAAAAGTTTCAATGAAATTGTATAGATAAAAAAGTGCTTCAAACAAAAGGAAACGCTCAAATGTTTACCTTTGGCTCAGGAGATTGTACGACACAGCTCTTGTTGTAGGCTTGTGCCCATAAGGTGTGCTGTTCGTAAACATGCAGCAAGGCATCATATCCGCATTGTTTCTCAATATCATTGCCGGCACATCGAAGAACGGAGTTTAATCTAAATTCATATATAATGAACATGCCGCATCTTGCTATCTGCTCCGCCCACGCAAAGTGCGGTACGGTTATTTTTTTCTTGAACTGTATACTTACACACTACACATCTTGCTTGGAGCGTCGGCCGCCATCGGATCAACCTCAGCCATCGCAGCAATGCATTTTTGGCCTTTTTCGGTGTTCGTGTAGTCCGACAAACATTTTCCGAACGATTTCTGGTCTCGAAGAGTCAGTGGTCTGGAAACAAAAAAAAATATGCGCAAGCATACGTTTTGCTAAATTAAACTTATTAAGCTTAAAAAACTGTTCCCCCTTAATTGTTATATTTTATCACAAGAACCTGGTCCTTCTTATTAAAAGCTTCTAATTTTTGATTGCAAACTAAGATACCTACAAGATAATCTCAAACATTATCGCTGCTTTGATAATCTGATACGTATACTTGGCGAGAACTGATCCCCAGAGCCTTTTTGGATTACAGAGACCAGTTCTCGTGCACTTTTAAATAATTCAAAAGCTTCAATCTTC